GTTTCAAAAACCTTAACATCAAAAAGTCTCAAAATCACCATTCTAAAAGACTGTGTCTACCAGTTATAAATGAATAAATACTTTCCTCATTTTTAATAATCAAAGATGCAACAAACACACACATACACACACCTATACATACACATACACACACAGTCTGCTCATTAGAACATCTGATTGGCTTCAGATCATCAGTGTAATAACACTAACAGCAAGTCTCTAAAGTTAAAACAGAAACTGACACGTTAATCAGTTAAGATTTCCTCTAGGTAAAGATCAGAACTCCAACTGGTACATAACTCACTGGAAATATCTGAGAGTCTCGAAATTCACTGTTTTGAATCCCTGACAAGAATAAAAATTTTGTATTGAAAACTTTATGCTTTTCAAAACATTAAAGCAGAAACATCTGAGTGAAAGCTTGCATTTTTAAAATCATTTTTATGCTTCTAAATTTATTTTTATTCAAATATAGATACCAACAGTAACATTTATATCAATGTTTTCCATTCAATTTCAGACAAATAGAATTAGGAGTTAAGAATAATGGAGTACTTCCAATCATTTGATGCTCTTATTTCCAACATTAAATTTATATTGAAAACGTACCTGCTCACAATGTCTGAACATTCTTCCTCTGTACTGCTCCTTTCACAGCAGGATCTTCCATTTCAGTGTTAGGCTGAATGGGTTTTAAAAGAAAATGATTCATAAATCATATATATTTTGTACAATGTGGAGTTAGTGATTCAAAAAATATGCATAATTAATAACCTTCAAGGAATGATGTTTTTCAAGAGGCCCTAGAAAGCAAAGGGGATATGTCATCAATTATATGTAAGTATGACAGCGCCAATCAAACATTCATGCAGTGTTATTATCAAGCTGAGTTCTAATGCCTGGCTATAAAAAAAATTACTTAAGGTTTTGAGGGTTCTTCTTAACATCTTCTTTTCATTGCCTATGAAAACAACATGACAGAAATATAATGCAGAAGATACGAATATAGGATTACTCAAACGAACTACATTTCAATAGTGAGATTGTGTTTCAAACACTTTTGACTAAAACAGAAAAGCGTGAATGTCACTGTGAACACATGGGCTCATGAGTGGAAAGGAGACCATTAAACAGAGGAGCAAACCAAACCTGAGGGAATCAATGTCAAAGCTGATGGTGGATGTATGGAGTATTTTATTTTTTATTTATTTTCAAAAACTTTTTTATTATACTTTAAGTTCTAGGGTACGTGTGCACAATGTACAGGTTTGTTACATATGTATACATGTGCCATGTTGGTGTGCTGCACCCCTTAACTCATCATTTACATTAGGTATATCTCCTAATTCTATCCCTTCCTCCAGTTCCCCACAATAGGATCTGGTGTGTGATGATCCCCTTCCTGGTCCAAGTGATCTCATTGTTCAATTCCCACCTATGAGTGAGAACATGTGGTGCTTGGTTTTCTGTTCTTGTGATAGTTTGCCGAGAATGATGGTTTCCAGCTGCATCTATGTCCCTAAAAAGGACACGAACTCATCCTTTTTTATAACTGCTTAGTATTCCATGGTGTATATGTGCCACATTTTCTTAATCCAGTCTGTCACTGATGGACATTTGGGTTGATTCCAAGTCTTTGCTATTTTGAATAGTGCCGCAATAAACATACGTGTGTATGGGTCTTTATAGTAGCATGACTTATAATCCTTTGGGTATGTCCCTAGTAATGGGATGGCTGGGTCAAATGGTATTTCTAGTTCCAGATCCTTGAGAAATCACCACACTATTTTCCACAATGGTTGAACTAGTTCACAGTACCACCAACAGTGCAAAAGTGTTCCTATTTCCCCACATCCTCTCCAGCACCTTTTGTTTCCTGATTTTTTAATGATCGCCATTCTAACTGGTGTGAGATGGTATCTCATTGTGGTTTTGATTTGCATTTATTTGATGGCAAGTGATGATGAGCATATTTTCATGTGTCTGTTGGCTGTATGAATGTCTTCTTTTGAGAAGTTTCTGTTCATATCCTTTGCCCAGTTTTTGATGGGGTTGTTTGTTTTTTTCTTGTAAATTTGATTGAGTTCTTTGTAGGTTCTGGATATTAGCCCTTTGTCAGATGAGTAGATTGCAAAAATTTTCTCCCATTCTGTAGGTTGCCTGTTCACTCTGATGGTAGTTTCTTTTGCTGTGCAGAAGCTCTTTAGTTTAATTAGATTCCATTTGTCAATTTTGGCTTTTGTTGCCATTGCTTTCGGTGTTTTAGACATGAAGTCCCTGCCCATGCTTATGTCCTGAATGATATTACCTAGGTTTTTCTTCTAGGGATTTTATGGTTTTAGACCTAACATTTAAGTCTCTAATCCGTCTTGAATTAATTTTTTGTATAAGGAGTAAGGAAAGGATCCAGTTTCAGCTTTCTACATATGACTACCCAATTTTCCCAACACCATTCATTAAATAGGAATTCTTTCCCCATTTCTGGTTTTTGTCAGGTTTGTCAAAGATCAAATGGCTGTAGATGTGTGGTATTATTTCTGAGGGCTCTGTTCTGTTCCATTGGTCTTTATCTCTGTTATGGTACCAGTACCATGCTGTTTTGGTTACTGTAGCCTTGTAGTATAGTTTGAAGTCAGGTAGCGTGATGCCTCCAGCTTTGTTCTTTTGGCTTAGGATTGTCTTGGCAATGTAGGGTCTTTTTTGTTTCCATATGAACTTTAAAGCAGTTTTTTCCAATTCTGTGAAGAAAGTCATTGGTAGCTTAATGGGGATGGCATTGAATCTATAAATTACCTTGGACAGTATGGCCATTTTCACAATATTGATTCTTCCTATCCATTAGCATGGTATATTCTTCCATTTATTTGTGTCCTCTTTGATTTCACAGATTATTTTAACTCAACACATCAGAGGCATTGCTGCCAGCACACCACAAATAAATTTCCCTTGTCCTGTTGCTGAGGAAATACACAGTTGAGATGAGAGTTCAGATGAACGTGCAATTCACCTCTCATCGAAGAAAGTGTTCTAAATTGATCAGCTAGGATACACACATATGAAATGACAGAAAATCAAAATACTCATTTTTCCCATGACCACATGGGCTACTGCAGCACCTACGTTTCTCTTATTCCCTCGTTAGGCCTTGAATTAGAGCTCCTTGGTCCACTCATGCAAGGCAGTCCAGAAAACACATCAAATAAACCGTGTAGAATAAGATTCCAATATCAAAATATTTATCACAAAAGGAAACATTGAATTACCACAGACTTGCTGGATATGAATACACTTTTGTATTTCAAAATCAGTACAGTATACTTTGAAAATGACAATTTTGGTATTCACAGAATGGATTTTATAATATGACTGCTTCTAAAATTAGCTAAGTTTGGTATATCATCTTACCCTGTAAAGGACTTTTATAAAACACCTATCATATCAAAGAGCTAACTGTCTCAAAAAAAATTAGCCAAATCATCTATATGCAATTTAATCACGTCTTATTCACTCATGTCAATGAGACTTCTCTCTCTGAGGCCTGACATTTATGAAGTGAAATGAGCTGCCCTGGTTTATCCCAATTCTAGCACTCCCTCCTGCCTCCAGCACTCAACACAGCAATAACCTCTTTTGTGAGGCTGGGCATATGCTGAAGCCACTGGAAGTGAGTTGTCTCAAGTTTACTTTGCCTTAACTCCCAGGACTGCAGCGAATGTCTTTCCTTCCTCCCTCTTTGTCCTTTCACAATCGCTCTTCCTTTGAAAAAGTAATATTTATGTCTGTCATCCTGATGTTTCCCTTCCTACCTGTTTTTTATAGATAACTGTGACCACTTTTTTCATCTGTATTCAGCAGTAGTATACACCTGTAATCTTTATTTTCTCATCTCATACTCTCTCCCTGTGGCTAGAATCCTGCTCAGAAATAAAAGGAAATTAATGCTTGCCCTTGATTCTGTTTTTCTTCACATTGTTGTCCAATGGTTCTTTTTCCACATTTCTCTAAAGGAAGACTATTCCCTTGCTATTCAGAGCTATGTCCAAGGACCAACACCAAAATAACCTGAGTACTCATGAGAAATGCAGAATCAACCAGAGTGTGCATTTTCCAGAAGCTCTTCAACTAATTCATGAAAATTTGAATGCCCTGTTCTACCCTGATGTGCTTTCATATTTGTTTACCCTAGTTGCCCTTTTTGGCCTAGCCTCAATTTCTTCCCTATTATGTCCCTGAATTAATTACTACTTTATAAGCCATAGTGTTCCTAATGAACTTTTCATCAGGCAATACCTTCCCTAATTAATTTCTTCTCCATATATCACCCAACACTATTCTTTTCAATTATGTTAATTTGACCTACATGATACTATCCCATGAGGTTACCACATTTTCTATGAAACTTAATTCTAGCCATACATGGCTAACCATTTTTGGTGATGTTTATCTATGGTAGATAAAACGCAAGTCTGTGTGGTAAAGTACCTCAATCCTTAACACCTCCCCAGTAGTGAGGATGACAGTAAGAGTAGGAAAATGTTACTCTAATTCTCTGACACATGGTGGTCCTGGAAGCTCAATTTATCTTCTTTCCTATTTCTAACACCCTGTTCTTCCTTCTTCTACAAAACAATTTCACTTTACTACCCTCCATTACATGCACCAACATATTTTTAAAAAATTTATTCCATGTACACTCCACCCTCCTCATTCTTTCTTTTATTCATTTCCTCTTTTCTCTTTCCTGATTTGGTTCAGGTCTTAGAGTATCTTAAAATAGAACTCATAACTCAGCTCCTTTAGTGGTACTCCCAATAGAATCAACTGCTGACCCTTGGTTAGAGACACAACTTATCACCATTTGACTTCTCCTTTACTTATTATACAGATAACAGGACATTTACTTAGCTATTAGACTATGTTAGTACCCATATTTTAAAAGAAACATTCCATCAAATGATTTTTAAATAAAATACGGTTCTCACCTTCTCCTTTTCCATTGACTATTCTGTTTTCTTTTTCATGGGAAGGTCCAGGTAAAGGCTCTGACACTTTCTTGGGGACACGCTGCTGAGGTAATATCAAGAATGAGTTTCCATTTTAAAAATTATAATGAGTTGCATCAAGAGATTCTTATGAATCTCTTTTTATGAAACTGGGTCTCACTCTGTAAAACCAGGGATGAATGCAGTGGCATGATTATTCGCGGCAGGTCCAGGTAAAGGCTCTGACACTTTCTTGGGGACACTTCGTTGAGGTAATATCAAGAATGAGTTTCCATTTTAAAAATTTTGAGTTGCATCAAGAGATTCTTATGAATCTCCTTTTACGAAACTGGGTCTCACTCTGTAAAACCAGGGATGAATGCAGTGGCATGATTACGGCTCACTACAGTCTCAAAATCCTGACTTCAAGCAATATTCCCACTTCAACTTCCTGAATAGCTGGAACTACAGGTGCATATCGTCACACAGGCTAATGTTTTATTGTTATTTTTGTAGAGACAAGGTCTCATTATATTGCCCAGGCTGGTCTCAAACTCCTAGGGTCAAGGAAACCTTCTACTTCTGCTTCTTCCCAAATGCTGAGAGATAACCAGTGTGCAACACCATACTCAGTCCTCATCATTCCTTTAATAAATTCAATGTTGCCCAGGCATGGTGGCTCACACCTGTAATCATAGCCCTTGCCACCAAGGTGGGTAGATTGCTTGAGTTCAGGAATTTGAGACCAGCCTGGACAACATAATGAGAACACATCACTACACGGAAACACAAAAAGGAGTCAGGCCTGATTGTGTGTGCCTGTATCCCAGGTGCTCGGGAGGCTGATGTGGGAGAATCACTTGAGCTTTAGAGGTGGGGACTGTAGTGAGCCACGATCATGCCACTGTACTCCAGCCTGGGCAACAGAGCACGACCCTGACTCCACAAAAATTTCAATTTAAAATATGAGAACGAAGTGAAATACAAACAAAAAACAAGCCTAATTGCTCAATGAAATATGAGCTTAAGCCAAGAAAGAAAGGAAACCACATGAAGTACAATAAAGTACATGGAGAGATAGATTCTAACAGAGCATTTTAGTCTTTTCATGCATTCCCGAATAATACACTAATATTTATGCTGCAATTTAGATTTTGTAAGTATTTGTGATAGAGAGATTATTACTATAAGACATTTAATTACTTAGATATGGTCATCTACCACTACCTGAAAGATAATACATATTGTGACAGAGAGAGAAACCTGAACTTATACCTTCCACCTAGAAAAATAATTGGTCACCAGTGAATTCTAAAGAGTAATTACAGTTTGAAAAGGTATATTTATAGAACGTGAGTTGGAGCTAATAAAAGTATAAGAAATGTGAATCTGCAATAACAATGTTGGGTAATTCCAGTTGAATGATACCAGTTACATTGTAATCCTCTTTTCTACTGGGATGACCTATTTCTTTGTTTTTTTTTTTTTTTTTTTTTTTTTTTGAGACAGAGTCTCTCTCTGTTGCCCAGGCTGGATGGCAGTGGGGCGATCTCAGCTCACTGCAAGCTCTGTCTCCTGGGCTTGGTGCCATTCTCCTGCCTCAGCCTCCTCCGAGTAGCTGGGACTACAGGTGTCCCGCCACCTTGTCTGCCAGCCCCTTTTGTATTTTTAGTAGAGACGGGGTTTCACCATGTCAACCAGGATGGTCTTGATCTCCTGACCTCGTGATCCACCTGTCTCAGCCTCCCAAATTGCTGGGATTACAGGCTTAAGCCACCGCACCTGGCCTGATGGCTTATTTCTAGTTTATATGGTATTTCCTTTTAATGAATGGCAGTTTCTCAATATAACACCTAAAATTTATACATCCTTCAATATTAAAAAATAAAGCTAATGTAAGCAATATTTTAAATATTTAATCATGAGATACTTGAGGTATATGACTGGAAACATTCCATTATATAAAAATCTCACTTGTTTATTTATTCAGATTAAACAACTATTATATAAGTTGACTAGCCCATGCCTAACTCCAGCACTTTGAGAGGCTGAGGCTGGAGGCAGGCAGAACAGTTGAGCCCAACAGTTCAAGACCAGCCTGGGCAACAAGACAAAACTCCACCCTACAAAAACTACAAAAATCAGCTGAGCATGGTGACACAGGTCTGGGTCCCAACTACTTGGATGGCTGAGGTGTGAGGGATCACCTGAGCCAGAGCTGGAGATGGGATTGAGCCAAGATCTCACCACTGCACTCCAGCCTTCGGGAAGTTACAGAGTGAATCACCATCTCAAAAAACAACAATTAAAATAATTCTTACATGGAAGACTGTATTCTAGGTACTCCAGGATACACACAAATATGTTGACTGACCTCCAGTACCTCATGGTATGCAGGAGCTTCCAATGATTCTTTAAACAATTAAATATAAAAATTTCTGAAACTCAAAATTTTAGAATGTGATATAAGGAGTTTGAGTGGTTATTTTATTTTGTAAGATGTAGTCTTGTCCTGTTACCCTGACTGGAGTGCAATCATGCGATCTTGGCTCACTGCAACTTCTGCCTCCTGAGTTCAAGTGATTCTCCCACCTCGGCCTCCTGAGCAGCTGGGAATACAAGCATGTGCCATCATGCCCAGATAATTTATGTGTTTTTTCTTCTTTTAGAGGCAAGATTTCACCATGCTGGCCAGGCTGATATCGAACTCCTGACCTCAAGTTATGCCCCACCTCAGCCTCCCACAGTGCTGGGATTACAGTCATGAACCACTGGGCCCGAGCAAGTAAATAGTTTAGATAAACTGCAATGACAAAATTATGATGTTAAAGTCTTAACAGATTGGTAATAAGAGTCTCTGCTTTGAGAAATGTTTATTTGCAGCAAAATACACGTTATTCAATTAGATGAAGTGTTTTATAGAAACCCTTCATGGACAACTTATAAAACACACAAAAATCCCTTTACGATACAAATTTTGAAAGCATAAATTTAAATTTCTATATTTTCACAATTTATATTTTTAAGTCAGGTACAGTCTTGTTATGTTGCCCAGGTTTTTCTGAAACTCTTGGGCTCAAGCAATCTTCTTGCCTCAAACTTGAAAGTAGCAGGGACTACAGGTCTACACCACCACACTCAATGATTTTTCTACAATTTTTAATATTATTTTAGTCTCACTACAGAACCAATAATATAAGAAGAGAAACAATCTCTCCTAAAAACTGTGTGATATCAAAATTATAAGTTTTCAAGGAAAAAAAAAGCTATAGACTATGTGCTCAGCGTTTTGGCAACTAAAAGGTACTGGTGGATTCCATAATTACTGGAAATAATTTGTTCCCCTGAAGATTTATACAAGCATATATATGATAGTTACCCTCGTATGATTTAAAAGTCAAGGTGTTAGTATTTATCCAAATAAACCTTAACCAAATTTCATGTTTCCTCTATTGGAGAAAGCATTTCCTAATGTGATTTTCCTGTCACTACTTATTTTCCAGTTCGTTTTTTTCAGCTCACACCCTGTCACAGTACTTACCAATCTTTGTTAGTTACCAAAGTTAAACAAATTTTTTGAATCAACTAGCCCCATGTATGATTTTCTCTGACCAACTTTCCATTACCATCATAAAACTATGATAGGTATACCACTGCTAAGTTTTAAAAGTAAATACTATGCAAAACTCCTCTGGCTGTCACCATAACCATGATAGGTATGTCACTGCTAAGTTTTAAAAGTAAATACTATGCAAAACTAGATTCAGAGTGAGAAAATTAATTTTACAAGAGACCACTTTACCTTAGTAGCAACACTAAGTCTTTGTCAACTGATGGTGGCAATGAACCCACACAGTTCATGAAAATTTGAAAGCAAAAATGTACAATAAAAATGAGCAAGTCGATTTGTTTACAATTTTTTTAACTGACAGTTTATATCCAGCTTTCCCCTAAAAAGGAAAATATAATCTGGGGAAAGGTCAGTGACTCATATAATAAATAATGATTCTTGATATAATTAAAATATGTCCCTTCACAAAGATTTTAGTTACCTACTTCTGCCTCCACTCACCCAAATCTATAAAATATTCATCGAAAACTGGACCTTGGCTCTACAACAAAGAGTGATAAGCACATATATTGGCAGAGCCTGACAATAATTTACCCCCTCACAAATTATCTGTCCTGAAGCTGAATCCAACCACTCACGGATGACATAAATTTTGTTACCTAATCTGAAAGAAAACTAATGACCTAAAACAAGGTAGAGAGAGATCCACTGTTCTGTCCATGATCTATCTCTGGTTAAAAGACTAATCTGCTTTACTTCAAAATGTCAATCTTGATTCCTCAGCATGGAAAACTTAGGGGATTTGTCCATTGCTTTCATTTTCCCTAAATCAGTAGAGTGTGTCTCCCTGCAATTTGAAATGTATGAAAGCTAAATGCCCAAAAGTCAAAAAACAAAGATGTATGTTCTTATTGAGAATACTTTTCCCAGAAAGATTAAGATACTAACAATTATAAAATCCCATTATTTTTTAATACTCTCTATAGGTCCTTACCCATTCAGGTCCATATAAACTAGCAAGCCCTTAAAAATTTTCATAGGCATTCAGTACACAAGGACAGAGACTGCTGTAGAAAAGAGAGTCCTGGTAGTTGTGCCTCTATTTCCCTAACTACTATCTGGGCAACATCTTTCTTCCTTCCTATGGGCTCTCACTTCCAGATTCCACTTCTGCAGGCTCCACAGAAGTTCCCAACCTTCAAATCTCTCTTCTGTCTATGAATACACAGATTCCTGAAAGGATGGCCTCAAATGACCAAGTATAGGAGCCCTCTATATCCCCTAAGTTCTGAAAACAAGCTAACTGGACTCTCAGTCACCTGCCCCCAGCATAGACATACTACCAACTGTCTAACTGAACTCCATGACTTCCTCAAGCCAGTCATGCCCTGACCCAGGCTGGGCATCAACAAGGAAGGACATCAGTGAATTGGGAAAAGAGGCAGAGGTGAGGAGACCAATTTTTGTCCTGGGCCACAGGATCTATGTAGTTCAGCAATCCCCAGCCCCCTGGC